GAAGTTTTCACAACGGCCGGTTCATTCAAAGAATGAGGGAAAAAGCTGCATCCCTATCCAAGTAAAGTTTTTCTCCTCTTAACATTCATTTCAAGTTGGTTTTCTGAACACTATTGAAAATTCTCCTGGCGCTCAAGATATAGAATTATCTAAGTTATTTTCATTTACAAACATCTTGTTTAAATCGTTTTTCTTGTTTTCTGAAGTGTACGATTGGAACAAGGATCCGTAACATCTCTAATTGAAGAAGAGGGGATTATTAAAGGGGTAACTTACAAAACCAAGACAGGTCAAGAGCTGACAGCATATTCTCCCCTCACGGTAGTATGTGATGGCTGCTGTTCAAATTTACGGCGCTCTCTCAGCAAACCCAAGGTTAGTATCCTTGTCTGTTTTGGTATACATTTAAACAATCTGATTACTGACTTGAATTTGTTGGAAGTTTGAAAGTACAACCATTACTTACCAAGCTGGGTTTTCAGCTATCACAAGAAAACCTACTTATTGCTATAATTGTTTTGCAGTAAAGTTTATTAAATGGTACTTATCATTTTTGCAAGTTGAAATCCCCTCTTGTTTTGTTGGTTTGATCCTGGAGAATTGTGAGCTTCCATACAAAAATCATGGGCATGTCATACTGGCAGATCCTTCACCAATCTTGTTTTATCCTATTAGTAGTACTGAAGTTCGCTGCTTAGTAGATGTACCAGGCCAGAAAGTACCATCCACTTCAAATGGTGAAATGACAAATTATTTAAAAACCGTGGTGGCTCCGCAGGTATGTGTAATTTGTTTGAATTGGTGTAATTTGTTTGAATTGGTCTCTATGCAGTTTGTTGTTTTATTTTACTACTAAAGCATAATTATGTTTCAGATTCCCCGTGAACTTTGCTCTACTTTCATGTCTGCAATTGAGAAAGGAAACATAAGAACAATGACTAATAGAAGTATGCCTGCTGCCCCGTCTCCAACTCCTGGTGCTCTTTTGCTAGGGGACTCATTCAATATGCGACATCCTTTAACTGGAGGAGGAATGACTGTGGCTTTATCTGATATTGTTGTACTAAGGGATTTGCTTAGACCTCTGCTCAATCTAAATGATGCACCTGCCCTTTGCAAGTATCTCCAATCTTTCTATAACCTCCGTAAGGTAAGTAGCATTCATCAATTTAACATCTGATAGCATCATGATTCTAGGATATACAAACAAGTTGAATTTACATGATTCTTATTTGCAGCCAGTGGCATCTACGATAAATACATTGGCAGGTGCCCTCTACAAGGTTTTTTGTGCATCACCTGACCCATCAAGAAATGAATTGCGTCTAGCATGTTTTGACTATTTGAGCCTTGGAGGTGCTTTCACGAATGGACCAATAGCTATACTATCTGGTCTAAATCCTCGTCCACTCAGCTTGGTTAAACATTTCTTTGCTGTCGCAATCTATGGTGTGGGACGTTTATTGCTTCCCTTTCCTTCACCTAAACGCATGTTAATTAGTGCTAGATTGATTTTGGTACGTATCTCTACTACTTGTAACTTGAAATGACAGCCTCAATAGTTTTTTATGATTTGTCTATCTTCTAATGGATTCAACTTTTTTTCCTAATATGTCAATTCTGTTCTTTTTCAGGATGCAACAAGTATAATATTTCCCATTATAAAGGCTGAAGGTGTGAGGGAGATGCTCTTCCCCGCGAGCATTCCAACAAATTACGGAGTTCAGGATCTATGCTTAAGTTAGGTGAAGAAATATGTCAATCATCTCATAATTTTTATGAGATTTTGTAGGATTTATTATTAAATTGTTACAGAAAGCTCCAATTGCACTGAAACCAGACATTCTTTGTACGATGTAAAACCATTTATTCAGTCTATTAATATGCATTTTTTTTTCACCGGAAAAATCAGTTGCAATGTCGATGTTTATGTTGAAACTGAAAAATAGTTGCCACTATGAATTATGATTCTTCAAGAAACAGAAAAGATGGTAAAAATAGAGTAAATCTGTTGCCACTTGTCTTCCAAAATGAAATGCTAGTTTTTCAGGAAATTCAGTTCGTGAAGGTTTTAGTGTCAAGTAAGAAAAGAAAATGGAGTTCCTCTAATAAGGCTTCAGTGGCAAAATTGTGAATTAATGTGGAAATTGAAGAATCTGAATTAGAAATATGGCAAGAGATCAACCTCTCCAATAATAGCAAATGCAAATGCAAATGCAGAAAAACACTAATAAATCCATAGTTTAGCTACTCTGTCAATCTTTAAATAAATAAATAAATGAAAATCCTGGACAAAAGGATTTTTTTTAGTGGTAAATTAAGAAGAAGAAAGCCCAGAAAACAAAGAGCTCTAATGAATGACGTAAATGTGAAGACTAAAACGATGATGTAACACAGATTAGTAATGCGTTGTCGTTTCAAGTGTGGCTAGAACAAATCAAGGCCATCCGTTGTTCTAAGATCCAACGGCTACAAATCTCTCTAGACCTGGTCAACAATATTTAAGCAGACAAGTCATTAGTTTTTAGAGTGAGTCAATTCTGTTTAGAAAAAGGGAAAAAATTAGCTTTACTAGGGTTTCTCTAGTTCTTGATTGGTACCTTTGTAACTGGTGTTTGAGTGATTAGGATTAGTCATTTTGTGAGGGTTTTTGTCTCTCAAGGGCTAGGGAATCTCGAATTTGCTTCTCTAGGTTATTAGATACAAGTTGGGTTCAATTAAGGGTTTTGTTCTTGGATCAACTGATCTGAAGTTTGTAATCTGTAATATTGATTCTTGATAGTGCAGTGAGCTTCTTCTGTTTCTGGAGCTCAACGTGGATGTAGTCTTTCCAATTCTTGGAAAGGTGAACCACGGTAAAAGTGCGGTGTTGATTCTTTGTGTGTTTGCTTGATCAGTTTGCATTGTTAGGTTTTATGTGTGTTTATCCTAAAATGATATCAAAGCAGGTTCCATTAAGGCCTGTTGTGACTCCAGGATCCCTAATCTAGAAAATTCCAAATTCTAGGGTTTTGACAAATTTGGGGGTTTTCAGAGTTGTCGAGTTCTAGGGTCTTTAGGAGTCTGTAGATCACCAACAAACCTTTAATTCTCAAGAATCAAAAGCAATTTCGAGTTCTAGCACCATGAGTTCAACCCGCATGGAAATCTCCCAGTATGATGGGAAGATTGACTTCAATTCTTGGAAAAAGAAGATGAAGGCCTTACTGTCACACAATAAAGTAGGGATTGCATTGGAAAAGAACAATGAGAAGTGGCCGGAGGATAAGTTGAAGAAAAAGGCAGAAATCGATGAGGTGGCCTACAACTTGATTGTGATGAACTTGGCCAATAACGTTCCAAGGAAAGTGGATGGACTAGAGACTCCTCTCACACTATGGAGTAAGCTCGAATCACTGTATGCTTTACAAACTTCACCCAATCTTGCTTTCTTAAAAGGTGCCCTGTTTTCTTATAGAATGGATAATAGTAAGTCTATAGAAGACAACTTAGATGAATTCTTGAAAATGAGTATAATCTTGAAAGGAACTGACCAAGAATTAGGAGATACAAGCCTGGCCATGATCCTTTTAAACTCATTGACTGAAGACTAACAGGTAGTCAAGAATGTCTTACAGTACTCTGGTACTGTCCCTAGCGTAGATCTAATCATAACAGGACTAAAAGCTAGGGAATTAGAGTTGAAGGTTCAGAAAAGAAATGGAAACAATTTATTCATAAAGGGTAAAATAGAACCAAGACATTCTTCTAATGGCATGCAACGAACTACAAGGTCAAAAATTAAGAAGAAAGGAAAAGGTACTAAGAAGAAAGGGGAAACTAGAAAGTGTTTCTATTGTAAAAAGGCAGGTCACTTAAAAATGAATTGCTACGACTGGATTAGAAAGCAAAAAACAGGAAATCCTCAGAGTAATGTAGCTTTTACAGAGGATAATGTTACTAACCCAGAAGTACTTACTATGTCTAGGACTAATCAAATCCAAGATTGGGTGTTAGACTCAGGATGCTCATTTTACACAAGCCCTAATAGAGAGTGGTTTCAAGACTTTAGGAGTGGTGAACAAGAAATAGTGCTCATGAGGAATAATAATACTTGTAAAGTATTAGGAATAGGGAAATATAACCCTAAGATTGGAAAATGGAAAACTGATAGTGCTGTCTAATGTAAGGTACATTTCTAAATTAAAAAGAGACCTAATATCTTTAGGTACCTTAGATGAATCAGGATGCAGCTATAAAGCTGAAAGGGGGTGCATTAATGTGTTTAAAAATAATCACATAGTATTAAGGGGGCTGAAGAAAAATGGGTTATACTTACTATGTGGGAGTTATCACCTTAAGAAGAGAAATAATGCCCTGGTCTCTTCCAACCTTATTGTAATTGACAAATGGGACTTGAGACTAGGACACATGAGTCAAAAGGGTATGGATATCCTTAGCCAACATGGGTTGTTTGGTAAGGACCAGATCAACTCATTGGATTTCTATGAAACATGTGTAATAGGCAAGCAACATAGGGGCAGCTTCACTAAAGTCACACACCTATCCTCAAACTGTTTTGACTACCTTCATGCATATCTCTGGGGACCCGAGAGGGTTAGGTCTCATGGAGGGAATAACTACTTCCTCTCTATAATAGATGACTTTAGTAAGAAGGTATGGGTCTACCTACTGAAGTCCAAAGATGAGGCTTTGACTAAGTTTAAAACCTGGAAAACACTAATATAGAATCAGGTTGATAGAAGAGTGAAGACTTTAAGAACAGATAATGGATTGAAGTTTTGTAATACTAAATTTGATAATTACTGCAGAGATCAAGGTATATTGAGGCACAAAATAGTTAGGAAAACCCCTCAGCAAAATGGGATTGTTGAGAGGATGAACATAACTCTTTTAGAAAAGTCAGGTGCCTCTTGTTCACCTTAGGCCTCCCAAAAACTTTCTAGAGAGAAGTTTTAACAACTATTGCTCATCTAATAAATAGAAGTCCCAATAGATCTATGGAATTCAAATGTCCAGAAACTGAATGGTCTGCAAGGGATCTGAGTCTGAGCCATCTTAGGGTGTTTGGGTTTGCTGCATATGCACACATAAGTGATGGTAAACTAGAGCCTAGATCTATAAAGTGTGTATTATTGGGATACCAAGAAGGTACTAAGGGCTATAGGTTGTGGGACAAAGAGACCCCAAGGGTAAAGGTCATTGTAAGTATGAATGTGATATTCAATGAGGGAGACTTCCCCTGCAAATCTACTAACAATGATGCAGGTTCCTCAAGCAACACTGAAGCACAACCAGGCCAAACATGTGTCACACAAATTGAGGTGGAGGCAACCAATAGGCAACCAGAAGTTCCCCAGCCAAAAATCGAACCTGCACCTGATACACCAGATCACGAAGAAGAAGGTGGATCAGAGTAGGCACAATATCCATAGCTTGATGAACTGCAACAATACCAGCTAGCTAGGGATAGAACCAGAAGAGAGATTAGGACCCCCACAAGGTACTCATATGTAGAATTGATCTATACAACCCTACTGCCAGGAACTGAAGTACAGAGGACAGAGCCTGAGACAGATGTTGAAGCCATGAATTCAAAGGACAAAGACAAATGGTGGCAAGTAATGAGAAAGGAAATGGAATCCCTAAAGATTTTGCAGGTGACAGGGATAGCAGGAAGTCAACTACAGCTTATTGTTTCACACTTGGAGGGAACTACATCAGTTGGAAATCACAACTCCAGCCTCTAGTAGCCCTTTCATCGACTGAAGCAGAATATGTGGCGTGGGTTGATGTTTTTTAAAGAAGCTCTGTGATTGCAAGGAATATTGATAGAAGCTGAACTAACTAATGGCAAGGTGACCATTTACTCAGATTGTCAGAGTGCAATATTGTTGAGCAAACCCCATCTACCATAAAAGAACTAAACATGTGGATGTACGATTCCATTTTGTCAGAGACTTGATCACCAGAGGATTAATTGAGTTGAGGAAGATTCCCATTGAAGAAAATCTAGCGGACATGGGAACAAAAATTGTCACTCCAGCAAAGTTCAAGCATTGCTTGGACCTATTTTTTGTGAAGTAAGAAGAAGCAACAGAGTTATGAGGGAATCAGTTGAGTGATCTGCACTAAGGAGAGTCAAGTGAATGAGTTAGTTTCAAGTCTTCAAGGTGGAGATTGTAAATGTGAAGACTAAAACGATGCCGTAACACAAATTATTAATGCGTTGTTGTTTCAAGTGTGGCTAGAACAAATCAAGGCCATCCGTTGTTCTGAGATCCAACGGCTACAAATCTCTCTAGACCTGGTTAACGGTATTTAAGCAGACAAGTCATCGGTTTTTAGAGTGAGTTGATTATGTTTAGAAAAAGGGAAAAAAATTAGCTCTGCTAGGGTTTCTCTAGTTCTTGATTGGTACATTTGTAACTGGTATTTGAGTGATTAGGATTAGTCATTTTGTGAGGGTTTTTGTCTCTCAAGGGCTAGGGAATCTCGAATTTGCTTCTCTAGGTTATTAGTTACAAGTTGGGGTTCAATTAAGGGTTTTGTTCTTGGATCGACTGATCTGAAGTCTATAATATTGATTCTTGATAGTGCAGTGAGCTTCTTCTGTTTTTGGAGCTCAACGTGGACGTAGTCTTTCCAATTCTTGGAAAGGTGAACCATGGTAAAAGTACGGTGTTGATTCTTTGTGTGTTTGCTTGATCAGTTTGCATTGTTAGGTTTTGTGTGTGTTTATCCTACAAATGACATAGCAAATTAGCAATTATAGATAAGCTGACAAGGGAAAGCACAAATATATGGCGTAACATTAACAAATTTGTACGACTGTGCCAGAGGAGTTTGGCATCAAAAGAGTTTCATAAATGCTTGATGATTATTTTGAAATAGTTAAAAATTTAAAATCCTTTACATAAGCCTAATGCCTCATTCCATTCCACCAATCTCACCATAAAAACAACTAAGACCTCAGGATGAATTTTACATCTCCTAATCTTCCTCGTCCCAGGACCAAATCCAGAAAAGTTCCATTTTTGCTCCCTTACTGGAATAAGTGATTCTAAAAATGAAAAAAAGAGAGAAAGAAATAGATGAAATATTTAAAGAGATTCATTTGGGTTTATGTTGGAAGCCACAATGTGATCACAAGACACAATTAGATGAAAGATTTACTCCAACATTTTTTGCGGTTATGATAGATGAAATAGATAAAACTATGTACTCTCTTTAATAGGTTACATATTCAAAATTTTAGTCCTATCATCTAGTATTAAGCCTAAAAACATTCACCATTGAGAACATCACCAATTCAAAATAACCATTTGTCAGATTTTGAGCTACAGACAGGTAATTTATTTTGTCTAATAGTGAGATTTGGACAGTCCATTATTTTAATTTTTGAACCACTGTTTGGTTCCATTGATTTGGAAATGCTTGACAATATTTTTAACCTTACTTGGCAAGCATTTGAGGAATTATCAAATTCCAAGCCGATTTTAAGATAACACCAAAATTGTAGTACCTCCTGTTTATCTTCTCCCTCAACCTTTCTAAGTATTCATTAATATTCATTTTGAACATTAGCAGGACCTTTTATTGAAATATTTTTCTGCTCTGTGTTTTGAACACTATCAAAACCCTTTGAATGAAAGGTAAAAGGTATTCAGTTATAGCTTTGTTCGCAAGTCTATAAAAAGACTTGGATTTGTAATTAACACAAGCCGGAGAGAAAAAGTAAACTTGCACTTACAGCTTACAAGAATCAAGTTTTCAATATCAATTCTTGAAATCTGAAGATGGTTTATCTGTTGATGCCGATGTTTGTTGCACTTATTGTAATAGCCACTACTACTCAAACACTTATAATGAAATACATACAAAATAATATAAAGAAATTGGGCCCAAAATTTTCTTTTATTAAACATATATATATATATTCTTTACAAACATATACATTTTTACACAAAATGTATAACATATACAAAAGTCATCAAAAACATAAGGGACAGTGTAACCACTCCTTCTCGAACGCCGACATCCATCCGACAGTGTCCTCACCTAGGTCCTGCAAAACATAGGAAAACAACGGGGTGAGCACTAAAATAATGCTCAGTAAGTAAATCCTCTACTCATGCTAGCCTCTTAACTCTCTCTCTCTAATTCTTTCCTTACAAGTCCTCATTCAATTTCTCTTTGGGTACTTCTCTATTTTTCTCTTTCTCTTTCCCTTAGAACTTTTTCTTATAACTCTTTCATAAATCACGACCCCATCTTACCGAGGGCACGGCCGGGACTCGCTCCCACTCTACGTGACCTATACTCATTCTAGCCGATCAGACTCGGTTATGCATGGATTCGGAACCCTTGGCCATGTGAGTGCATAATCTCTCTCTCGGGTACTCGGGTATAGCCCTCATCCGCATGCACTCTCACGGGCTACACCACTTCTCTATCTGATACTCATGCCGCTCTCTCAATGCGGCGTACATGAGGAAATACTCTACCCATTACTCACGGGTTCCCCATCGCACAACCTACTCTATTCTCTTTCTCTTAACTCTTAAGGAACTTATACTCAAATTCTCTACTAAATCTCAAGCTACTTCTCAAGTGTATAAACAAAGGTGTAGAGCTAGCTCATGCTCCCTAATGCACTAATGAAATGCCAACTACAAGATTTCCTCAAAACCGTCATTCTGCACAGGTCACACTAAAAAGACCATAACTTTCGTTATACACCTCTGATTGCTACGGTTTTGGTCTCGTTTTAAAGCTTAGAAACAGGGCTACATCTTTGATGTTTTGGTCTCAGCCCAGTTCAAACCGTAAGATGCCCAAAAATTACTTAGAAAGTTACGGCAGTGACAGGGCAGATTTCACTTAGGCATTTCATCAAACAACTCATGTGCATATAAACACTCTACTAAAATTACTACTATACTTCATTCTCTAGCCATCCAAAATGGGGGAAAACTCCCTCAAATACTCATAATCCCTGTCAAGAAAAGCACTCCCAAAAAGCTTCACACAACATCTCTCAAACTTCATCTCAAATTCCATTCTCAATACACATTAAAACACTTCTCATACATGGAATCTATCCAACAACTACAAAAATAGCTACTCATCTCAATTCAATTTTCTCATTAATCATACTACATACTGATCATGCATACATCTCTACACAAAAGCTTATTCAAAACTCAAGTTGGTTGGATTTACTTACCTTGTGCAAAGATGACTTCTTTAGCACTTTTCCTTCCCTTTGTGGTCTTGTCTCTTCTCTACAACTCAAAACAACCACAAGGACAGCAACAACCAAATAAGACTTCACTACAATTATAAGAAAACTCACATCTAAAGCATGAATCCTTACCTTAGGATGCTTTAGATGAAATCTCTACTCAAAACCCCTCTTAAATCCCTTAGAAATCTTGGAAGATTGGATGGAGAAATTGAGAGAAAATGGGCAAATGGAAGAGGCGGTGGAATGAAGAAATAAAGGGTTTCTCTACACTTAACCCTTTTTAGTTCATATTATAAGCATCCTTTCCCATTTTGCCCTTGCTCTTCCTTGAAAATTCCATCTATATCCTTTGATTCTTTACAAATACACCCCCATCCAAACACAATCTCTACTAAATTTCCTTTTATTTTACTCCCCACTTTTCCTACTAATTAGGGGTAGAATGATCATTGTGCCCCAAAAGAAGAATTCTCTAGAAAACTCAAGAAACTTTGTCTTAGGCTCGTCGCCGCGGCGAAGCATTTTTCGTCGCCTCGGCGAAATAGGGCAGAACCTACCCATGGTGCAACTCCTCCACCTCGCCGCGGCGAAGCTCCTTCTTCGCCCCGGCGAAGATTGGATTTCCAACTTCTCCAAAACTCAACCAATTTCAAGGCAACAATTCAACCAACTCAACATACCAACTAACCATGACAACAAGCAAACTCAATTGAAGCTGAAACAATAAACTTTTAACTAATACAGCAAATCTTAAATACGTACCTCAAGTGGGATATTACACTTATATCATCTATCTTGGGAGTGCTTTTCCTTCAAAGTTCTAGAGGAAAGAAGAAAAGTGGAGATGTTTCAATGAAGATTCAGAGGAATGAGTGTTCCAAGAGATCAGAAAATGTAACACTCCCTGCAGAGGTTGCTGGAAGCACTACTGATATAATCATTGTTGGTGTTGGAGTTGCAGGTTCAGCTCTGTCTTACACTCTTGCAAAGGTAATACACTCTGCAAACTGAAATTGCTGTATTTATTCTAACAACAACTTTTGTTGGATTTCTTTAAAACTGTGTTTGATTGCGTAGAAAGCATAAGAAGAAATAAATAGAAACCTGTATATCTTTCGTTTCCAAGCCTTTCTTTTTCTGTCGGTAAGTTCACTTCAATCTGTTTGCTCTATAAGAAAAAGCTGTTGAGTTTCAGGAATACTTAAATTGGGGAATGATAACAGAATTTGACCAAGGAACCATATTTGATTGGATGAATGAAAAATATATGCATATGCATTTTGGTATTAGGTATGATAACAGAACCTTGTTTTCGGCTGCTTGTTGCAGGATGGTCGTCGAGTGCATGTCATTGAAAGAGACTTGACTGAACCTGACAGAATTGTTGGTGAACTCCTGCAACCAGGAGGCTACCTCAAGTTGATAGAGTTGGGTCTTGAGGGTAAGCACATATTTAGCTATATCACTCTATCTTTGTCATCTCTTATGGCTGCAACACCTCTATTCTAATCTGTGAAATATGTGTGTGGCTACAGATTATGTGAATACGATTGATGCACAACAAGTGTATGGATATGCTCTCTACAAAGACGGAAAAAGTAACAAAGTATCTTATCCATTGGAGAATTTCAATTCAGATGTGGCTGGAAGAAGTTTTCACAACGGCCGGTTCATTCAAAGAATGAGGGAAAAAGCCGCGTCCCAATCCAAGTAAAGTTTTTCTCCTCTAACATTCATTTCAAATTGGTTTTCTCAACACTATTGCCAATCTCAATAGTTTGAAAATTCTTCTGGCGCTGATCAAGTTATAGAAATTCTAAGTTTGAGATAATTTCATTTACAAATATCTTGTTTAAATCAGTTTTCTTGTTTTCTGCAGTGTAAGATTGGAACAAGGAACTGTAACATCTCTGATTGAAGAAAAGGGGATTATTAAAGGGGTGACCTACAAAACCAAGACAGGTCAAGAGCTGACAACGTATGCTCCCCTCACTGTAGTATGTGATGGTTGTTGCTCAAATTTGCGGCGCTCTCTCAGCAAACCTAAGGTTAGCATCCTTGTCTAGTTTGGCATGCATTTAAACAATCTGATTACTAACTTGAATTTGTTGGTAGTTTGAAAGTACAACCCTCATTACTATAATTGTTTTGCCCTAGAGTTTTCTAAAGGGTGCTTATCATTTTTGCAAGTTGAAATCCCCTCTTGTTTTGTTGGTTTGATCCTGGAGAATTGTGAGCTTCCATATAAAAATCATGGGCATGTCATATTAGCAGATCCTTCACCAATCTTGCTTTATCCTATTAGTAGTACTGAAATTCGCTGCTTAGTAGATGTACCAGGCCAGAGAGTACCATCCATTTCAAATGGTGAAATGACAAATTATTTAAAAACCGTGGTTGCTCCTCAGGTATGTGTGATTTGTTGGAATTGATCTCTATGCAGTTTGTTGTTTAGTTTTACTACTGATGCATAATTATGTTAAGTATTCTTTTGAAATCAAGTGAACCGAGAATGTTCTAGTAGCTTATTCACCAAAGTATAAGTGACTGTGATTATGATCTAAATTTTTAATGCTTGTGCAACCAAAGGTTTGAATTTTCTTAACAACATTTGAATTTAGCTTGTGACTGATTCCTTAATACTTATCGGAACTTGCATGTTTCAGATTCCCCGTGAACTTTTCTCTGCTTTCATGTCTGCAATTGATAAAGGAAACATCAGAACAATGACTAATAGAAGTATGCCTGCTGCCCCATCTCCTACTCCTGGTGCTCTTTTGCTTGGGGACTCATTCAATATGCAGCATCCTTTAACTGGAGGAGGAATGACTGTGGCTTTATCTGATATTGTCATCATAAGGGATTTGCTTAGACCTCTAGGTGATCTAAATGATGCACCTGCCCTTTGCAAATATCTTAAATCTTTCTATACCCTCCGTAAGGTAAGCAGTATTCGTCGATTTAACATCTGACAGTATTCATGCTTTGGCTATGATATTTATAACATCCTTCTTGGATTTACAAACAATTTTTGTTTACATGATTCTCGTTTGCAGCCAGTGGCATCTACAATAAATGCATTAGCAGGTGCCCTCTACAAAGTTTTTTGTGCATCACCAGATCCATCAGGAAATGAATTGCGCCAAGCATGTTTTGACTATTTGAGCCTTGGAGGTGCTTTCACGAATGGACCAATAGCTATACTCTCTGGTCTAAATCCTCATCCACTCAGTTTGGTTAGCCATTTCTTTGCTGTCGCAATCTATGGTGTCGGACGTTTATTGCTTCCATTTCCTTCACCTAAACGCATGTTGATTGGTGCTAGACTGATTTTGGTACGTATCTCTTCTGCTTGTAACTTTAAATTGCCTAAATAATTTATCACTGATTTGTCTATCTTCTAATGGATTCAACTTTTCTCCTAATATGTCAATTATGTTCTTTTCCAGGATGCATCAAGTATAATTTTCCCGATTATGAAGGTTGAAGGTGTAAGAGAGATGCTCTTCCCTGCGACCATGCCAACACATTACACAGTTCAGGATCTATGCTTAAGTTAGGTGAAGAAATATGTGAATCATCAAACAGTTTTTATTATATTTGTAGGATTTGTTCTCAAAATATGACAGAAACTATACATTCTTCGTACAATGTAAACTAATTATTCAGTCTATTAACATTCCTCTTACACTGGAAAAAGGACTTACAATGTGATTGTGTATGTTGAAACTTTAACATTCTCTGTATTTGTACACTATTTGTTTATTCTACAACATGCCTTTTTACTGGCAATGAACTTATATTGTGATTGTGTATGCTGAAATTGACGGAAAAAAAAAGGAAAGAAAGAAAAAAGAAGCATTTGAAATACGAGAAATGTTTCATGCAGTGATGAATACATTTTAATGCAAGAATAGTTTAATGCAGACAGTATCATGTTGTGTAGAAAGAAAACAAGCAGTCAATCCTAATGATAGAGAACAGGGGAGTTTAAATTACTGTTCTTCATGAAATGGTAAAAATGGCAAAAGACATTTTATCGTTAAGCAACCACAAGGAGGACCAGAGCAATAAATCCTATTCTGCAAAAGTACTCAGTTATTGAAGGTTTTAGTCCGTCACAAAAACCGAATATGGTATTCTTACTCTGCTAGTTTGAACGGTGAATTAATAAACTTAGAGAAAGGCAGTTTAAGAATTGAAAAAACAAGAATTATAAAGCTGAACAGAATCCAGTATATCATTCAAGGTGATGCATAACAATCCTATTAAATCTTCATTTTGGTAACTCTCTCAACCTCTAAACAAACTTTTCTAAAAGGTACAAGTTCACCAAATTTTTTACAAAGTGGACAAGTCCATTATACTGCCTGATAAAGCCATAAATGCTTGTTCAAGTTGGCTTCAAGGATGAGAAGGCAAAGATCCTTCATGTTAGTCTTCTTGAACACCAATCTCACCATCCAAAATTGCATGCCTTGTCAAAACAATTTCCTTTACCAGGTTTCTGTATGTAAAAGGCCTAACTGCTGCTCGCAAAAACAACTTGGGAGGAATTCTACTTTTCTTAATCCTTCTCCTATTTTGCCCCAAACCAACATTCTTCCATTCTTCAGGACTCACTTTGGCTCTCTTTCCCCACAAAGCAGTTTCATCTCCATCTTCAACAATATTTTCCTTCTCCATTGCTTCCGTAGACTCCATCTGCTTCTTATACATTTTAGTAGATGTCTCCACACTTCGTCTTGCAAGCAACTCCATTCTTTCAGAATTACTCACCGCCTTATTAAACTCTTCTTCCCAATACTTCTCATCCTCCTCCGGACTAGATTCCTCTTCTTCAATTCCCAATTCATCATCTCCAGCTTCCATGTCCACAACCACACCATCCTGTTCATCATCCTCATCACCCAAATCACCATCATCATTGCCATCATTGTCAGCATCATCCTCAATCCAATCCACAAACTCGGTCTCACCAGCATTTCTACCATGACGGACATCCTCATCATCATCCGGGGCATCACAACCTAGCTCTTCCTCCTCCAACTTAACCTTCCACTCTTTCGTATAGGGATGCAACAAATGCACCGGATGATTCTCCAACAAAAACTCCAAACACCTTGACTTCCCCTCGTCACTCAACTTCTCATACCCTTTCACCACATCATCCACAAAAGCCTTTGGACTCACTTTCACAATCTTACACAACCCACCAAAATAAGTACACATCTCCACACTCCCACCCTCATTCCTCAACTCAAACAAAAATTTCCCCTCCGTCTTCGGATCAAGAAAAGGCATTAAAGCCCTAAAAAACCCATCTTGAGGCTCAAACCTACACTGATAAACTGGCCTCTTAACATAAATTATATCAGGTCTCATCCAAGCTGCACATTGAGTAATCAAAGCCCTAGCTCTATTCCCCAATCTACCCATCAAACTCCACTTATCCAACCTCTGTTTTCCAGCTTCAAGCACCACTTCAGAAACTAAAGTCCACTGTTGCCACGGCTTTTCATTAACTCTCCATCTTGGATGTCTCACAAACACCCAAAAGTACCTAAACCCAGCACTCTTATCCATCGATTTCAATCTATTCCCAAAATCAACCGCCATTTCATGTTGCTCAATCCTCTCCCACTCCTCATGGTCCTTCACTTCCCCATAAATCGTCACGCGTTCATCACTAAAACGACCACGTATTGGTTCGCCAACGACAACTCCGCGCCACGAGTAGGGTCCGTATTCGCCATACTTGTACCAATCATAAGGGTGTCGCAGATCCGGGTCGTCTTTCTCCATGAACCGGACCATGCGGTCGTAGCCAAGCCCAACGGCTTCGAGCTCCGCTTCTGTGAAATTATCGGGATGGGACTTGTTGGAGTTTTTGAGACGATAAAAGGGGGCTTCCGCTAAGTTAACGGTTCTGAATTTTGGTCTGCGCTTAGGCGGTCGATATGTCCCATCTAGTCTCGGTTTCTTGCTTCGACCGGCCATTGCCCAAATGTTTAAGCGTGAAAATTGGGGAATTTGGCGGGAAAATCTGCATTCGGGTTTGGGGAAAAGAGAGAATGCAGGGTTCAGGGTTTTAGAGAAGGAGAGGTCTTGGGGAAGCAGCGACATTTGGGATTGCAAGGGAATTATCTACATTATGGCTGCGTTTGTATAGATATAGGTATCATTACCTTAAACCCCCTCAAGTACCAGTAATGACGCAAAACCCCCTGCCTGGCGCCTGCCTTACCTCTCCCTAAGTATCCGAAATCCAGCAGTATGACATATTTACGCAGACATGTCAATGACTTAAAACCTACCGTTTGAAGGGTATGAAAGTCGTTTTACTCCAAACTCATGATTTGATATAAAAAAATGCTTTAGAAAATGCTCCATAATCACGCGCTTATTATATTCAGTTATTGACAAATATTTATTTATCAGAAAATATATTTTATCTATTTTATTAATAATATAAATATTTTTTTTTTTTGTAATTGCAGTCTTTTTAAAAAAAAATTTAAATTCAAGTTTTTTACCCTTCATTCTTACCTCTATAACATTTTAATATATTTTCAACATCTGTTCTAAGTATTTAAAATTATAAATTAAAAATCTTTATTATGATTCTTTAACAGTTAAGGTTCTTAAAAAAAGGTATTCCATATGTTACATTAGAAATAAAAATTTGAGCCAAGAAAGAAAAAAATTAAAAGAAAACAAAGGAATTATCTAAAAATGAAAAGATTAATTTTTTATATTAATATAATTAATTTTGACATTATATATAATAGTTAATTATATAAAATATTTTGCCAATAATAATAATATAATTTTCCAATGAAATGTATTATATTTTAGTCATAGAGATTATTTTATTTGCTTCATTTCAAATTTGTGTATTTAATAGTGATTAATAAATTGTTTTTTCTCAGGTATTTTAATAATTTTCATGTTCAAAAGTGAGGTAAATAGTTTAAACTATAAGAGACAAAACACTGCGTTTTGGTGAAACTTCAGTACTTCACTCTTCAACTTTACTTCCTCTTTTGTTCTGGCAATATTAATCACTTTTTCTATCTGTCCGTTAACTTTCCTCGCACTTCTTCTTTCTCTGATCTGAAATCCAATGCCGTGAACCCATCAAAACAACAACCAAAATGTCAAAACGCAACCACACAACCGACGTTGGCTCAATAGCCTACGTCAATCTCAGCGATCTGGGCGCCGGCAAGGAAGGCTGGTTGGCCAACGACCCCAACCTCCTCTGCGCCTTGGACATCCACTCCATCGCTCTCTCCAACAAATTTCTTATTTTCATTATCAATTGGGCCGACCCGGATGATTCTGGACTCCGAACCAAGATCCGACCCGACCTTTCCCCCATCGAGGCCGAGTACATTACGGCCATAGAGTGGTTGGTATTTGACGAAATTAGAGTAATTGCTGTTGGAACTTCAAGAGGGTACATGTTGGTCTTTGATTTGAATGGCGGTTTGATTCACAGGCAGGTTAGTGTTAAGATTACTTCTTTTTTTTTGAGAAGGTGATATGATTTACAGCATATGAAATCGTCGATCAAAGTCGTAATTTTTGCAGTTGGTTCATTCTGGGCGGATTTTGAAGTTGAGGGCTCGTGGAACTAAGAGTGGTTTGACTTATGAGTCATCATCTTCAGAGGAGGTTTGTGTTGTTATGCCCGGTGTGATTGCTCGTTTTGATGGTTCTGATATTCAGGTAATTGTTTGAATTTTAGTTCATAATGTAATCTTTTGAGGTAGATTAACAAAAATATTAGCTCTGGTGATTCAATTTAAGCCTTTACAAAAATTTGGTATGGTTTATAACATTTTTGTATTGCTGGAATGTAGAGAATGCTGCAAAAGTGGTTTCAAGAAACAAATTCTAACTTTTGGGATCAGAAACGGCGAGATTCGGAATATTTGGGGAATTCTTCAGAGAGATTGCCTTACCAATTGTGGAATGTCAACAAGTATGGGCCATGTGCTGATGCAGCTATTACTGGCGTAATGCCTCCACCACTGATGGAATTACAGGTGATAATTTGTTTGCTTAATTCTATATACCCATTGATACTTTGTTTGGGATGTACGCTAGTTTATTTAGTTAGCATTTGTAATGACGAAAATGCATTCTAAAATATTTCGACCAATTGTTGTCTTAATGCCATGTTTCTTTTGACCTCTTGCAAATGCAATGATATTGCTGGTAATTTGCCCGCTAAATGATGGAAGCTTTCTGAACTTATTCTGATATTTGAATTCAGCTGCTTTTATTGTTGGGCAGTCAAGTCAACGATATTACTGTGCAGTCACTATTGGAGAAGATGCTGTGATTTCAGCATTCAGGTTAGTGTTTGTTAGGATTTCTCTATATATTCTGTGTTTCTGTTGTATTGATCTCTTGTTTCATTTTTCTCATTCGTGTATTCTATTGACCAACTGTTCTTTCATTCTGTTAAAGACTTTCAGAAGATAGAAGCAGGTCATTAGTTGGAGCTATTTTATCAAAAGTTGTGCCTGCAGCTTTTTCGACAATTGCTTCTGTTTCTAAGATGATTTGGTGGAGTGAAAGTTCACCAACAAAAACAGAACCAAAGCCACAGCCATTTGCTCGAGGTGAAGTTAATTGATATCTTTTATTTGTTTCTTATTTTAAGATATTTAATTAATATTTCTTTTTAAAGTAGCAGGTTATTTTGTTTATGGTGTTTTTTGTCCACTTGTCCTATTCACACATTCTTTTATGTGCTTATTATTGCTGTATCTTAGCTTTATGAGGAGCCTGTTTATCTCCTTAATTCTGGTGCTGATGTTTTCTCTATTCATAGTGTTTTTCCTTTTCATTTTCACTGCAAACAATACCATGTATCCCAATTTTAAGATCCCAAGTGATATGCCGTTGCTTGATTAGTGTTGTATGAATGATGAAATAATATGGCAGTCGATATTTTGTTTAAAAACTTGGAATATATAGCATCATTCATTAACTACTGTCATGTACCTATGCATTATATTTTTCAATTATGGCATTTTTTCGGAAATATATGATAGAGAAGTTTGTATAGTCAATGAATATTCTTCAAAAGTGTTACATAGACAAATAGAGCATACAAAAGCTCCCTTGTAATTATCTCATATAATTTAGTTACGCTAAGATCATACAAATATCATTACTTGCTTATTGCCATTGTAGTTATGAAGCTTTGATAAATCTATTTACATTTTCTTTTCAACTTACTAAACACAATTGCTGAGTAGTTGGCTCAATGATTTGCTGCAGCTTCCCCTTTGACATGTTTGAAAGATTATCCTAGAAAGGGTGAAAAGCTCACACTATCACCTAGTGGTACATTAGCTGCAATAACAGATTCACTGGGTCGTATATTGCTCTTAGACACTCAGGCACTTGTAGTCGTGCGTTTGTGGAAGGTTTTCTCTAATCATTCATGAATTTCCTTTTTCTTTTTGTAACGTTTTTTTAATTCCCCATTTCTTCTATTTTCCTGGTGGGAGAGAGTTTATATCTTCTAACCATGAACTGTACTTGTTTTTTCAGGGTTATCGTGATGCTAGTTGTGTATTTATGGAGATGCTAGTCAAAAGAGACACCGCATCATCAAGTTCTGCATATCATGTACCAGAGAAGAGTGATTATTGTCTTTGTTTAGCTATTCATGCACCTAGAAAAGGAATTATTGAGGTACATTCAGTTCCCCTCTCCTCTTCTAGTGTTTTGATGGATGTACATTTATCATGAACTTAGTATTTAAGGATGTTTACTGCTACCATAATCCTGCTTCAACTTTGTTTTTGATGACTTGAGAATTGTCTGATTGCAAATTATCACTTCTGAGTCTCTATCTTGTGTTTTTGCCAGTCTAAATGGGTAGGTTCTGATTTTACTTAAGCCATGCCCTAACCTAGTTACTGTTTTTGGGTTTTGGTCTGAGCTGGTTTTCATAATCAAAATTTTCCATATGTTGTGGGTTTGTCTATTTAAAACTGATGAAAAATTGGATATTTATCTATTTTTTTTTTACGGGAAACTTGGATGTTTTGCAACTAACAACTAATCATGTTTCGTGACTAAATTATAAATTCTTTAATCTATCCATCTTTCTTCTTGGTTGTTGACATTTGATAATATTATTCTGCCATTATTCTCTTCAGTACATAACTTCTGTTCATGGTTTAGGAATTTTTTGAGTTAATGCCTGTTTATAATTATTCTCTGTGCAACTCATTGCAGGTCTGGCAGATGAGAACAGGACCGCGTCTCTTAACAATTCAGTGTGCCAAAGGTAGCAAAATTCTGCAACCCTCCTATAGGTTTGGATCGTCAATGACCTCTTCTCCCTATGTTCCCCTGGAAGTTTTCTTGTTAAATGGAGACTCTGGTCAATTATCAGTTCTGAATCGATCCCTTAGTTGAGTTTTTGAAGAACAATATTCTTTGTTCCTAATTTCCTTATATAAAATGACATATATCTCTGATTGCACTTCACTTTTTCAAAATCTGAAATGTTCCACTTGATGTATAAATATGCAAGAATGCTCTGTGCTATTGAATCTGTAAATTTCTCCATTGCTGTTACTCCAATTTCTTGATGATATAGCATACCAGCCTAGCAAATAAGTATAAAAATATTTCCCTTGACATGTGATCTCTGGAAATATCAACTTCAATTTTCCCTCGTGAGTAAGCCACGAATTCTATAAGTTTTCTGAAGAAAAGTGGAAAACACTATTTTGGCGTTTTCAGTGTTTTTGGAATTAATTTTCATTATTGTTTATCAATGAAATTCTTACTTAATAGTCCAACGCTTGGAAGATCATCTATATACACTTATTGTCAATGTATTACCTAATCTGTGTGACCTGTCTATGCCTGGGTATTTATATTTTTATCTCGTTTATCTTATGAGAATCAAATAAAAACGAGTCAAATATTTTTATTTATAGAAAAAGAAAATCAAGCTCACACTTTCGCATCAATGAGTTACTGGTGTATGTAAACTTCTTACTGATAACTTGAGCTGTAAATCTACTAGTGCATACACTTTCTTTTTTCCTAAAAGCTCCCCGAGGAATATATTCAATGAAAATACTTTCTGCAATATAACCTTATTTGAAAGAGTTACCTTTGACATCTAAAAATGTACTTATTATGTTTATATTTTGAGTCTTCTTTTAGCTGGCCTTTTCTTCATCGAGCGGAGAATGAACTTGGCCTATAACAGTAGGCATGGTACCCTGGTCTTTTTCAGGTAGCGCTTTCCGCATTGATTTTCTCACACCATGATGTTGATGGCCAAAGAACAGAACTTTTATGGTACTCTTAAAATATGTTCTGCAGAATTATTATCTGCAGCTTGAAATATAACCATACCTCTGAAATAGAGCTTGCACTCTACCTAAGGTTGGATATAGATCATGTTTGATATGAATGAGGATGGCAATGTTAATCCAATTAGGCTGTTGATATGGGTATAATATAGTTTTTTATGTTGGCTTGCACATTGCTTAGCTTTAATTCTGGTTTTTGTCAAAATGATGGAAACTTTACCCTTTATATTTACATAGTTTTATCTTGCAAGTAATTTAGCTCCAAGTTAACTCTTTGTTCTGGTGTCATAATCCAATTATATTTCTGCTGTTATCTATTTTCTCACTTGCATTTCAACTCCCTTCTTCCCCTCTAAATCCTCTCAACTTCCTGCCTCCCCACTGGTCCCTGAGCACACAATGGCCCTATGTGAGGCAATGAAACCCTAATACATGAAAAAGTCTTCGTTCTAGACGATTCGGTACGTCTGTTTTACTCGAGACTTCCTCCTATAGAAGCTAGAGGGATGCTGGAAAATGGTAGCAATCGTTGGCATTCTACAACACTCCTTACAATCTCTATCAGAATTCTTCAAGTTTCAGTTTCTTAGTAGTTTTACTGTGTTCTTACTCCAAAATTCCCCGTGTCTCTCTCCGGAACCACTTCTCATGAAATTTTCCATCATTAATTCAGGTTTCAGCATTATGTTTTACTCCAATATGCATGGTTTAAGGTGATCAAGACTATGCATATAAATTCCGGCTAGAAAAACCACCAGGGCAACAGTTAGTCAATGGCTTCCTCTCACCTCCCTCTCCTTCTCTCTCTTTTCCTCCTCGTCTTCCAACTTCAGCCCACCAAAGCCAAACTTCTCAACTCCAAGTTCCTCACATCAACCATCCTTTCCCAACTGTCAACCACCACACACCTCAATGACACCAGACCAACCGTCTACTTTGAAGTGACCAAACCAATCAAACTACCCAGAACTAAACCTTGTTCCCAACTCATCCTCAGCCATGACTTTGGCAACACCTATGGAAAGCCGCCAGTACTTGCAAACTATACGCCTCCCTCTCATTGCACTTCCCAAAAGTTATCCAAAATCATACTTGAATGGAAAGCAACATGCAAAGGAAGACAATTTGATCGCATTTTTGGCGTTTGGTTAGGCGGTGTGGAGCTTCTCAGGGGCTGCACAGCAGAGCCAACAGCTAGCGGGATTGTGTGGAGTGTTGATAAAGATATTACAAGGTATCAATCATTGCTTGTAAAGAGTCAGACACAAACTTTTGCTGTTCATCTTGGTAATGTTGTTGATAACACTTATACTGGGGTGTATCATGTGAATATAACCATCAATTTTTATCCTGCTGAAGCGAAGTTGAATTCTACTGAGAACAATTCAGATAATCCAGCATCTAGATTTGGTGCTAATGCTGATTTGATCTTACCCATTTCGCAAAATTTACCATTGAATGACGGGTTGTGGTTTGAAATAAAGAATTCAATGGATACTCAAGTGAAGGAGTTCAGAATTCCCCAGAATGCTTACAGAGCTGTGTTGGAAGTTTACTTATCTTTCCATCAGAAAGATGAATTTTGGTATTCAAATCTTCCCAATGAGTACGTTTCAACAAATCATCTAGGCAACACGCCAGGGAATGGACCTTTTAGGGAGGTTGTTCAATGAGAACTACTACTTTATCAACCGTGTTAAACCGGTAAATGACATTAGATATGTCCTCCTTAATTGAAGGATAAGACCTCAGGGTAGTGGCCGTAACCAAGTAAGCTAGAAGGAAGAATACTATAGCTTTATTGAGGAAAGAACCCGTTGTATAATCTACCTTTCTTCCATAAGTTCGGCTTCAGCATCACGAGTGGTATGAATGTGTGGTTTGTAGATGCTAATTTGCATCTTTGGTTGGACAGCAAGAGCAGAAAAACTCAAGGGAAGCTTTTGGAACACAACGTCTCAGCTCTTAATGTTCATTCGCAGTCAGATTTTACGGGTCTCGATGGAACACTCTTGACAAATGTAAGCAGGTCAATATCCTCAACTGGGTGGGTCAAGTCCTCCTATGGAGAGATGACAACTGAATGGATTCAAGATTTTCGCTATAGTAACTCCATGTCGATGAGTAAAGATTCGAATAAGCAGATCATTAATCAGATGATCCATTTTAATGACAGTGTTTACACCAGAATGCCTTCCTATTCTGTTTTCTCAATGAATTCATATAAAAGGTTTCCCCTTGGCATGTCCACTGATGTACTGGATAAAGGAGATGAAAGTTATTCGTTGGTAACAAACATCACGCTAGGATTCAATGAGGAGAAATCTAAGGTTGCTGGTTCTGATTTCTTATTCAACTCTCTAAAGAATCTGCAGAATGGGCACGTTATCATAGCTATTGAGGGCAACCATGTTCTTGATGCTTTGTGGAATACAGAACAAGCATATGAATATCGTGGCAGTGACTTGTGCTACTTCAGGAACATAAGCAGCTTAAACGACAACATTCTCTATGATGTTGTGTCAAATACATGCATGCAGTAAAAGGAAGGAGTCTTATTTAAGTTGATTCTGTAATTGCTTCATAAAAAATCCTCTCGTTAAACATTCCAGAGGATCCGTATGTGGGTACAATAAATAAAGATCTAAAATGTTGGTATTCATAACATTTGTTATGTACTCTTTCCATTTATCATAACAAGACATTTGCCCTGTTCTTCGAATACACTATACTAGTTTTGAACATACACATGCCATGTATTATCAAAGGCTAACACTGAAGTTCTATTGTACGATGCATCCAACAAGGTTACAGCCTTGCTGGTAATATGAGCTTATGATAGTGATTCATTTATGTCGTAAGACAGCCATCTTAACAGACTCATCTACTTCAGCTGATTATATTATCATAAGCAAGGAATACTCCATGTTACCATAGAAATTGTGTTTAGAACATATCTGCAGCTCGTGCTTCGACTATTATATGACACGACAAAAAAAGATACTCTTCAAAACCGTGGTTCGTCGAACTCAAACATCAACACTGGATCCAAATGCCATTATGAACAATCAAAATATGGTAATATAGTTGAAAAGGCTAATATAAAATTATCCACAAAGCTGATATGTTCATAATAAATNAGCTCTTGATGTTCATTCGCAGTCAGATTTTACGGGTCTCGATGGAACACTCTGGACAAATGTAAGCAGGTCAATATCCTCAACTGGGTGGGTCAAATCCTCATATGGAGAGATGACAACTGAATGGATTCAAGATTTTCGCTATAGTAACTCCATGTCGATGAGTAAAGATTCGAATAAGCAGATCATTAATCAGATGATCCATTTTAATGACAGTGTTTACACCAGAATGCCTTCCTATTCTGTTTTCTCAATGAATTCATATAAAAGGTTTCCCCTTGGCATGTCCACTGATGTGCTGGATAAAGGAGATGAAAGTTATTCGTTGGTAACAAACATCACGCTAGGATTCAATGAGGAGAAATCTAAGATTGCTGGTTCTGATTTCTTATTCAATTCTCTCAAGAATCTGCAGAATGGGCACGTCATTATAGATATTGAGGGCAACTATGTTCTTGATGCTTTGTGGAATACAGAACAAGCATATGAATATCGTGGCAGTGACATGTGCTACTTCAGGAACATAAGCAGCTTAAAAGACAACATTCTCTATGATATTGTGTCAAATACATGCATGCAGTAAAAGGAAGGAGTCTTATTTGAATAAGTTGATTCTGTAATTGCTTCATAAAAAATCCTCTCGTTAAACATTCCAGAGGATCCGTATGTGGGTATAATAAATAAAGATCTAAAATGTGGGTATTCATAACATTTGTTATGTACTCTTTCCATTTATCATAACAAGACATTTGTCCTGTTCTTCGAATACACTATACTAGTTTTGAACATACACATGCCATGTATTATCAAAGGCTAACACTGAAGTTCTATTGTACGATGCATCCAACAAGGTTACAGCCTTGCTGGTAATATAAGCTTATGATAGTGATTCATTTATGTCGTAAGGCAGCCATCTTAACAGACTCATCTAATTCAGCTGATCATATTATCATAAGCAAGGAATACTCCATGTTACCATAGAAATTGTGCTTAGAACATATCTGTAGCTCATGCTTCGACTAGTATATGACACGATAAAAAAAGATACTCTTCAAAACCATGGTTCGTCGAACTCAAACATCAACACTGGATCCAAATGCCATTATGAACAATCAAAATATGGTAATATAGTTGAAAAGGCTAATATAAAATTATCCACAAAGCTGATATGTTCATAATAAATAAAGAACACCGGACAATTACAATTTTATTTCTTGCAGCCACATTCCAGAACCCCTCCGAAAACCCAAGTAAAGTAGCACCTTTATGAAGAAACTGACAAATGAACTGTGTCCAAACGTTAAATTAGTTGCTCACAAGACACCATCAAACTATTCAGATACTACAGGAGCCATTCTAGCTGGCAGAAGCTGGTAGTTTTGCCACCCCAAAACCGAACCGAGACACTGTTCTTTTAGGGCAATTATTTCGAAATTCATCATGAAGAATGGTGTAGTTTGAGCTGCTTACGTTCCTAAAATAACATAACTCTCTACCACGATAGTTGTACAATTGTTGTGTGCTGCCTATTCCACTCCTTACTAAGTTGTCCTTCACAACCATGACACCCTGTCCATTCTGCAAGTTATTGAGAGTGCTGCTCAAGAATCCAAAACCAGCCTTCTTAGATTTCTTCACATTAAATCCCAAACTGACATTTGCAACAGCTAAATAACTTCCATTTCCTTGATCCAAAGAATCTGAGTACATGTAGAAGGAGAACATTTTAAATGATTTCGCTGAGTGGACCTTAGAGGACGTCATGTTGGCAGAAACGCTGTCATTAAAATGGATTGTCTGATTCACAATCTGCAAATCGGCATTATTGCCCATGACCATTGAGTTACTGAAACTAAAGTCTTGAATAAAATTAGTTGTAATCATTCCCCGGGATGACTTAACCCATCCTGTTGAGGATATGGACCTGTTTACATCTGTGAAAAACGTTCCATTTAAACCTGTATAATTTGATACATAATTAACATGGAGAGGTGTGGTTTCATGTTTCAAAAGCTTTCCCTCAGTTTTCGTGTACTCACTGTCCAACCAAAGATGCAAATTAGCATCTATGTACCACACATTCAAAGCATTAGTAACACTAAACCCAATCCTATGAGTCTTTCCTTCCAATATATTCCCCAAAAAGGGAGTGATTTCAATATCATAAGTAGGAAGATTGAATGAACCGATGCCGGTAATAGGTCTCCATAAGAGAGGATTAATCCCTCCGGTATATACTACAGTAAAAGGCCAAACTGCACCAACAACCTCACTGTCAAGACTCACCACAACCTCCCTAAAAGGTCCATTTCCAGCATAACCAGTCAGATTATTTTCGGCAATGTAATCATTCGGAAGATTTCCATACCAAGATTCATCATTCTCATGAAAAGAAACATACACCTCTAACACAGCTCTATACACATTTTGAGGAATCTTGAATTCCTTCACCTGAGCATCAGTTGAATTCTCAATCTCAAACCACAACCCATCATTTCCCGGCGAATTTCGTGAAATGGGCAAAATCAAATCAGCCTCGGGACTATACCCAGATTTCAAATTATGCTTCAAAACATGCTCATTCCTATCAAAACCCTCTTCAGCAGGATAAAAATACATAGTTATATCGACATGATACACACCAGTATAAGTTTTATCAACAAGATTACCCATATAAACAGCAAAAGTTTGAGTTTCATTCTTAAGAAGCAACGAATAGTACCTCGTTATATCCTTCTCAACACTCCAAACTATCCCAGTAGCCCTCGGTTCAGCTGTACAACTTCTTAAAAGCTCAACCCCACCTAACCAAACCCCAAAAATGCGGTCAAATTGTCTTCCTTTACAAGTGGCATTCCATTCGAGGACGATCGTGGAGAACTTCTGGGAAGAACAATGAGTAGGCGGCGTGTAGTTAGCAGTAACCGGGGGTTTCCCGTATGTGTAGCCAAAGTCATGGCGGAGAATTTGATGCGAACAAGGTTCGGTGTTGGGATGCTTAATGGGTTTGGTTACTTCAAAGAAAAGAGTTGGTGGGGTGTCATTGAGAGGGAGAGTGAGGAGTTGTGAATCGTAAAGATTTGAGGACTTGTGAAGAAGGGCTTTCGTGTTGTGGAGATTGGCTGAAGTGGAGAGAAAGAGAGAGAGGAAGAGGACGAGGAGGAGAGTGAAGTGAAAGGAAGCCATGAATGTTAGGTGTTGGATTTTAGATTTTGGTTTTGTTTATTTTATGTTAGATTTGAAGTTGTTTGAGTTGAAGACAATGACATTGAGTTTTGTTAAAAGCAATGCTGGTAAATGAGCAGTAATCATCAACTTTTTCCAATAATCCACGCGGAATAAAAGGGGATTTCCATTTACATCGTCTAAAATATTAACTAATTAAATAAAGATTAGCATAAGCTTTGTGATTAACTACTAATTAGATGTTATCAATGGTATCTAAATTTATCTCAAATTTTCGATTATATCATTAAATACTATAATATAATATAAGATAGAGTTAACGTTTTTTTCCCACCCAAATAATGAGTTAATAACACTTTTCCACCCATAGATTTTTAAATATCACTTTACTACTCACATTTATATTCCATTAACGAACAAAGAGCAAACTCGATGTACGCTATTAGATATTTTAAAGATGGAAGGTCGATAAGTTTTTTGGTGGTAGAAGGTTAGATTTTAGTGATTGAGATTAATCAGAATTTGACTTGGAAGGGGTGGTTGTGCAAACCCTAATTGCTCAATTTCTGGCGATTGGAGGGGTCGACGAGAGTAGGTTTGAAGGGTTTTGGTGAGTGATGATCAGGGAAGAGAATAATAGTGGTGTGGGGTCATAACGATATCGAAATCCGAAACAGAATATAAATTTGGATAGTAAAATGATATTTTAAAAATTTATGAGTGGGAAAGTGTTATTAAGCCACTATTTGGGTGGAAAAAAAGTCTTTTACTCTATAGGATAAGGGTAAAACTCTTTAATATGATCAACATTTGTCCTGCATATATATATATTAAAATCAATAATACTAACCTCACTAACCCCTCTCACTAATTTCTCTCACTAACTTCATGTGAGAGTTTGTGATTGGCTTAGTTAGACGGGACCTATTATTGGACAGGCGAGACCCATATGAACTGACAAATTGTAAATTGACACGTGGCATTAATGAGAGAAAATTAGTAAAAAGTGTTAGTAATTGTAGTGTTACTCTATTAAAATAAAGAATAAAGGACATATTCCCACCAGGTTTATTGAAACAAGAAGTTCCCACCTGGCTTAATAAATTCCAAATTCTCACTTTTAAATTAACATTGAGGGATGCAAAGGATGCTATTATAAAATAGCCCTCCAATCTTCTTCTTCTTCACCTGATCAGCCAAATTCCCTCTCATCTTCTTCTTCTTCACCCAATCAACCAAACTCCAAGAAGAGATTATAAGATTTCTCACCCTTTTCAACACCATAATCATCACCAAACACTTCACAATATCTCAAACTGCTTGAGACTTTTGTTGTTGCTTGATGCATTTTTGCTGAGGTTAGAAACGACAGGCTCAAAGACATCAATATCTACCCCATTAACACAGTAGTCAGTAGCTGTAGTTTCATGTTAAAGAAGAACTCTGCAATTTCTCATCATCTTCTTCCACAAACCTCGATCCAACCCCACTCGATTTCATCCACCATTTGCTAGCCACAACATCGTCACCGTCATCGCACGCTTCTTGCAATTTTTCGATCGCCGCCAACGTTAGAAATCAGCCGTTATACAGCCAATTGACTCATCTAAACCTCCCAACAGACTTGACCCTCTCTGCCTGCCGTTCGTGGGCCGACTCTCTTAGTGTTTTGCTTTTTCGGCAAAATTGGGGTTCATTGGAGTTTTGTTTGTTGAGATTCTGAAAGGAGACTGCTTGTGTGTTGTTTGGAGGTCGTTTGGGATCAATTACGAAGTGTTTTCTAGTCTAAATTATAACTTTATATGTGTTATTTTCCTGTCGGTGGTTCTGGTGGTGGCCCATTTTTAGTTTGGATCCAAAATTTGAAATGACCTTTTTACCCTTTGACCGTTCAATTAAATAATTTTCTGTTATTTAAGGTGGAAAATGAAAATTTGGAATTTATGAAACCGGGTGAGAACTTCCCATTTAGCTTTACCTTGGGTGGGAACATGTCATTTGCTCTAATTTAAATTGTAACCCTAGATTTTGTATCTCCTTTGTTGAATGAAACATTTAGGCTATGTTTGGTTTATTATTTTGAGTAGTATTTTTAAAAAAGTTGAGTTAGGTTGTTATTACGAGGATATGATTTGAAAATTAACAAAAACACCCATACCCATCCATTAAATGCCATTAGCCAACCACCACCACTAGAGGGTGGCCAAAAGTCACTGTAATGGTGCATGACCAGTTGGATCTAGTCGGTCATGCATCAATCTGGCTTTTTTCAACCAGATCTACCATGGATCTAGTCGAAAAAGACCAAATCTAAGGCCAAAGATCTGGCTGTTAATGACCAAATCTTTGGCCACATCTAGTTGTCAATGACGGCCAAGATATGGTTGTCGTTGATGACAAAACATGGCTAGGTCTAGTTGTCAACGGCCATATCTAGCCGTAGATTTGGCCTTTTCCGGCCAGACCTTTTGATGCATATAGTACCAATTATCATCTATTTAAATATTTACATGTTTAAAGTAATTTTAAATATCAATAATCAAATTGTTAAAATTAGATTAATAATACAAGCATTATTGTGCTATATTGTGTGTGATTTTTCCATTAAGCTCGGAGAAGTCAGAAGCCCACAAGGAGCTAGTTCGACCTAGAATCAGTTCAACTTAGCATTGGTCCGACCCAACATAAGCTCGTCGACAGTGATAGCTCGACTCGACACAAGTTAGTCATGACCAACCCTGACAGTTGTTTGACAAACTATAGATAAGCTCAAATCTCAGGTATTTCAGAAGGGATAAGGTTGACACCGATGGCAACGTAATCTTAGCACCCAATCACAAAAATATCGGAGTTACAATTTGAATTTGATTGCAATCCTGATATTCTCTCTCTTTCCTTAATCTCAAACTTGTATAAATACCCCTCCAATTATGAGAATGGGGTTAGCAATTTGTTCTGAGGATTACATTATTTTTTTCTTGTAAGCTCTCTAATGCAATAAGAGAACAGTGGATGTAGGCTTAAGTTCCAACTTGCCGATGTTCTTTACATTACTGCACTTTTATACTATCATTGCTGGTTTTAATTAATGATGCACACATCGATTTCGATTCTGTCATGTTCAATAGGATAACTCTGGTTGATGTGAATTTTGTATCAACATTTTGGTGCTAGAAATAGGGCCTCCGCCTACTTTTCCTAGTTCTGACAAGAAGCAAGCAATTTCAGTGAACAATCGAGCACCTGAAATTCACAATGGCCCATACAAGATACAAAGCAAATACTGGAAACCATGACAATGCGGAAATCACCCACCAAGAGGTGAATCAGGTCGTTGCCATAGGTCGACCGCCAGTACCATCGGTGCAACAGGTTGCAAATCAACTGGGGGTTGGGACCTCTAATATTGAGAATGGCAAACTGATGGAGATGATAAGGATGCTAGTCGTATAGATGGCGCAACAGAATGTAGCTGAGCTGAGAAAGGAGCAACAGGCCAACCATAATCTCGATCAACCATATTTCACAGAAGTTACACCTACTAGGTTTAATGATTCTGTTGGCGACCAATCCGTTTTGTCCGCAGCAAAGAGAGACCATCACCTCCGACATTTTAGGGCACACTCCGCTCATGAGTGAGAGTCTTGGGGGAAAGTTAACCCTGGGAGGTGACCTGGCAAGCAGCCCATAGGGGAAAATGAAGATAATGGTTTCCAAAGGGATTCTTGTCCTAATCGACGAAACGCCCAATGCCAGCGTGTCGATTTTAACCCACGCTAAAGGCAAGCTCAAACCTCGCAAGCTTGCAAGGTCAGCCACGTACACCAGTCTAGCAACAATTGACGTTTCGGTTTTAACCAACGTCGTGATCAATGTATTGAGGAGCATGATAGCACCTACTATCCCATCCATCATGACTCCACCTCACGTACTAGTGTGCACAATAGAGCAGGCTCACAAGCAACTGATCTTTGAACTCATCTACTCGAAGTAAGGCTAAATAAAGCTCATAGTCAAAACACTTCTCACAAGAGGATTTAGATCGGGTGTAGAAAATGCTCAATGATTTAAAAGCCCGCTAGAACAATGCTACGGAAAAGATAGTGAGTTCCCTGTTTGCAGAGGAAGTATGACAAGCGCCACTCCCATAGGGTTTCAAGGCTCCCGAGAATAATTCGATGGTAAAAGGGACCCATGAGACCACCCAGACAATTTCAACGACCTAATGGAGCTGCACCAGGTCTCAGATTAGGCAAAGTGTCGCTACTTTGCGATGACTCTGGTAGGAGACATCAAAAGGTGGTATAAGAGGCTCAAGGTGAACTCAATATAGTCATGGTAGCAATTCTCCTTGCTATATTTGCAGCAATTTCAAGCAAGGAGATAGTTCGCAATATTGCTCAATTACTTGAGCAACATTCGTTTGGAAAGAGACGAAATTCTGAGCTCGTATTTAACGAGGTTCTAGAACGAGTAGGCAAAGGTCACAGATGCACCTAAGGAGTCAATACACACTTTGCTTATAGCAAGTATAAGGCTACAAACAGAATTGTGGAAAGAGATCCAGAGTGAGGATCATGCGAGTCTAACCAAGTTCTACCGAATGGCCGCTAGGCATTAGCGAGTTGAAAGCTCGTGATGGCCTTAACAAGCAACTCACTAAGGAGAGCCCCTAAGAGGCAGCAAGACCGCCTAACAGACAAAATAAGGGGCCAGGATCGAGGTGATAGAAACCGAAACAAGTTCCCAAAAAGGCAGAGAATAATTTTGTGGGGAAAGACAACCTTTTTCGCTATATGCAGAATACACCCCTTTGACAGAGGATGTGGCGCACCTCTACAAAGTCTCTTGCGAGGCTAAAAGGTTACCCGTACCAGAGAGAATGAGAGGGGCATCGGGCAGAAAGGACTACCAAAAGTACTGCAGATTCCACCGAGATATCAGACACAACACTAATGAGTGTTGGACTTTGAAAGATGCCATCGAAGATTTGATTAGAA